ATCTTGGAGGATTTTTTCTCGTGCAAATTTTTAAAAATATGTATCCATTTGATGAGGGTTGATTTGGTAATATCAAGTGAATCCACATAACTAGGCAGACAGAAACCATTACACACTGGCCAAGGCCAGACGGCAGCAAGGGTGAGGACAACACGTGAAGCTCCGAGTCAGGACCCTCCGCGTTTGGTTCACGCCACGTAACCGTCTCATCTATGGACCACGGCAGTAGGCAGAGTAAATATTTGCAAAGCTTTTTTGTTTTCTTCAGATAAAAGGTTTTAATAGAAGTTCTGACATTTTCTTCCCATACCCCCAAGTACATTATTTTAGAGACCACTGCTCTAAAAAGCAGGCCCCTAACATATAGCAGGTTCTCAATGAAAATTTACTGAATAAAAACAACACACACTCTTCTGATTTTCTTAAGAAGTTGCTCACATTATGCTCAAATGTTCAAGGAACTTGTCTCAAAGGTTTTGAAGGTAAAAATCTGGGGGAAGAGAGAGGAACTGCTTATAATGCTGAGTTTTCTTCATAAAGGATCTGTATCTTTGCTCTGTGTCTTTCTTTAACATATTTATTTCTAGATATAGTTTATAGTTTTTGTCATTATGTTGAATTTTTTTTGTTTGGTCATTTCCAATTTTAACTAATGACTGCTAATGAAGAGAAAACTATTAGTTTTTGCATATTTATCATGCACTATTTCAAAATTTCTTATTAATTCTACCTGTACTAAAGCCCTCGAGTTTTCTGGGTATTCTATTATATAATTTGAAAGCAGAAATAATTTTTCTTCCTTTCCAATATTTAGAGCAATTGTTTACTTATTCTTTGCCTTATTTCAACAGTTAGAAGGGCCAAAGCAATGTTTAAAAATAGTGACAGTGATGTAAACGATGACAGAAACACTTGTTTCTGATGTAACAGAAAGGGCTTTGCTTTAATATTTCACCAACTAGTGTGTGACAGCTGCTTTCTTTTTTGGGGGGACTATCATATTTGAATAGTTTCCTTTTATTTCAATGCTATCAGTTTCTCAAAAATCAGAAATGGTTTATTTATAAACGTACTTTTGCTTCAATGATACAATAATCTGAGTTTTCCTTTGAAAATGAATATATGAATAAGTATGAATATGGAGGCTTATGAAATTAACTCAGTAATTATATAATTTGTCTTTTTGACACATCTTACTGGATTAGATTTGCTTTGGTTAAACTTACAACTATTTTAATTAGTGAAATTGACTTCTTTTTGGAGTTTCTATCCGATTTTTGTCTTAAGGTTTTGAAAGTTTTGTAATAGTAATATACTTAATGTTAAATTTTAAGTTTGAGGCCACACTGATACAGTAGCTACCAACCAAGTAGCAATTTAAACATAATAATTAAAATAAAATAAAATAAAAACACTCAATTCCTCAGTCCCACTAGCCACCCTCTTTTACAGCAAAGTGATTCAGGTATACATACTTATATGAACATTATTTTTCCAGATTCTTTTCTGTTATAGGTTATTACAAGATACTGAATATAGTTTCCTGTGCTATACAGTAAATCCTTGTTGTTTATCTATTTTACAAAGTAGTGTGTATTTGTTAATCCCATACTCCTAAATTTATCCCCCCTTTCCTCCTTTGGTAGCCTGTAAGTTTGTTTTCTATATCTGTGAGTCTCTTTCTATTTTGTAAATAAGTTCGCTTGTATTATTTTTTTAGATTCCACATATAAATGATACCATACAATATTTGCCTTCCTCTGACTTACTTCACTTAGTATGATAATCTCTAGGTCCATCTATGTTGCTGCAAATGGCATGTTTCATTCTTTTTATGGCTGAGTAGTATTCCACTGTATCTACATCTACACCACATCTTCTTTATCCAATCATCTGTTGGTAAGACACTTAGGTTGCTTCCATGTCTTGGCTGTTGTAAATGCCCACTAGCAACTTTTAATTGCTCAACTGCTACCAAATTGTATGGCACAGATGTCATGCCCAAAACTGAACTCTCTCTCTTTCTCAGCTTTAAAATTCTGAAGCTTTTTCCGTGCCTATTGTTAATGCTACTGAAGCTACCCAAGTCATAAAGCTCCACATCAGATTCTTGAAGAACTAAGAAAATATTCTCAGACCAAACCATTTCTTACTCACTTGAAACAAGAAGCAATTGTCGTACAAATTAACCTGATATTTTAAGCAAGAGTAAAGAAACAAGTCCTTTAATCTGCTGGCTACAAAGCAATCTTTATACAGTAAGTCATGTGTAACACTAATAAAAAAAAAAAACCAAACTTTTATGCAAAAAGTAACCCTCAAGAAAGGCAAGGGTAAATAAATCAAGTTTTAAATTCTTTTTCATTCCCGTTTAATAGATAATATCATCATAATAGGATATCTAGAGGAAACTTTGACCTCTAGTTTTATTATAAATGACAAGATACAGACACAGAAAAGAAAAAATCAAAAGAAGCTGATGTTCTAATGACTTCACCTATTTCAAACCAAGAAAAGTTAAAATCAAAAGAACTCTTCCAGCAAATAAGCTTATTTTTAAATTCTCTTTTATTCAATTCTAATGTATTGCCATCAAATAAGCCAATTCTGGAAAATGAGAATACCTACAGAGAAAATCCATTTCCTTTGTTAAAAGCAGACAAGCACCAGCTTAAGAAAGGAACTTTTGTTTTCAGACTATGCACTAAAGGGTTTCTTTTTACTAAAACTCCAAAATACTGTTTTTAAATTTAAAAAATTCTTCTTGTTATCTAATCCTTACAACATTGAAAATTTGTGCCCAAAAGTTTATAAGGCTAGTAACAAAAGATCTTCCCATTTTTAATTTTTAATCACACCTGCCTCTGAAAACGATTATCAATTTAAGCCCACAAATAAAAGCTTTATTTTTATTCGTTTTAATTAAAACTGCTACTTGTTATAGGTGTTTAAAATCTGAACTAGAAGTCCATTTTCTAGACAAATGAGTTGACTCACATTTCATATTTCTCTGTTTGAAGGAGTGCTTTAAAACATTACCCTGCTGAGAAGGAAAAATTCTGGTAATTTAGTTTTAATATTCCTTTCATACTTTTGAATCCTCAGAAATTCAGCTATTATAAGTTGACAAGGCTATGTCAGGTGTCAAAAATCATTTATTCCGTACTTTTTAAATATATTAACTCTAAATAGTCTGTCTACAGAAGAAATCCAGGTCCCTAATTTTTAGTCTTTCTTTTTGATCCAGTACTGCACACCACATACAATTCCATTTGTGTTGACCGGGGGAGGGGAGTTGGGGTGAGAGGAAAGT